CTCTCTCTCTCTCTCTCTCTCTCTCTCTCTCTCTCTCTCTCTCTCTCTCTCTCTCTCTCTCTCTCTCTCTCTCCCTTTCCCTCAGATCCAACACCTAAAATGGAAGTTGCACCCAGCCAGAGGCAAGGAAGCCTGGGTGGTGACAAACCGATCTGGCAGCCCTACCCTAGCTTTCCTAAGTGATGTCAGCCCCTGTGAGCTTCCAATAGGAGCCAGGCATAAATCAGGGAGCTGACCTTATCCAATAGGAAACTTTATTATAGGAAATTGAAAAAAAAGAGGAGAGAAAGACGAGGAAGTTTTATATATATATTGTATATATATTTATATTTAAAGCAGAGACTATACAGTCTCTGAGGAATTACTGCAGAGCTCGGCGGGGAGGTGGGAGGTGCTAAATAACAAAGCTTTTTAGAGCGGCACGCCTAAGCCTCAGTTCTCTTTGATGAGGGTCTTGCTCCCTGTCCCTACCTAGCAGGGTGGGAAAACAGAAGAGAGCTTACTTTATTTGCCTGCTGCTGTTTGGTTTGTTGCTTTCTTCGCCAAAGCATTTTCCCAAAGGAAGCCAGGAGGGTAGGAGAGAGAAATCCCAGAAACAGGGCTGTGTGTTGATTGGAAATGGTAGGAAATATCTGAGGCAAACTCTCAATTTCATTGTTTTGATTTAATTGCATTAAAGCTAATGAGGAAAAATAAACGCTTAGGCTTGTTCACAGCTTGTTAGCCTCTTTTGCTCTAACCAAAAGAAAGCAGAATGCACGGAGCTGTTGAGGAAAACCTCTGTCTTTCCATCAAAATAATGTGGGCTTTGCCCGGGGTGTCAGGCAGGATCCACAAACAAAGAGTTTAGAATAGATAAAAAATATCGTTAAAATAATTAAGAGAATGCTATTTCTTTGTAAACTCAAAACTACCTGGCTTTTTTATTTGACCTAAATAAAACATTACCAGGATTTTTCTTTGAATTCATTTAAGGTTAGAGAGGGGTATTGTTTGTTGTTGGGTTTTGTTTTTTTTTCTTAGGTGGGGAGGTTGCTTTGTTTTGCTTGAGACAAGGTCTCCTTGGACCATTGGCTTACCTCAAAGGCAAAATCCCTCTACCTTCTCGGTGATGGGAATGCTGGCATATTACCACCTGGTAAGACTGGTATTATTTATTCACTAATTACTAAGCCAAGATGATGAATTAAAAGGGTTCTCTTTCTGTTTTAAAATGTATCTGTGTGTATCTATGCTTGCACATGTGCACAGGCACACATGTACCACAGCACTCATGTTCAGGTCGGAGGACGATCTGTAGGGATCCATCCTCTCCTTAGGGGATCATGATAACATAGGTCAGGAAGCTTAGCAGCAAGCACTTCTGCCCCTAAGACCTCCTGCTGACGCTATTTCTTATTTACTTTTTACTTTTATTTTATTAGACAGGGTCTCACTATGTAGCCACACAGGCTGGCCTTGAACTCATAGAGATGCCCCTGCCTCTGCTTCCTGAATGCTGGATAATAGGTGCGTGTTCCTACTGGCTGCTGCAAAATTAATCTTCATAAGCTTCCATAATCTATAATGGTAATACAAGGGCAAAAAAAGAGACTGCAGTCAAATTGCTGTCTTCCAGCTACTCCTACGTAAGTATTCCAGCACCTCCATGTGCCCTTGGCCAAATTATGTAATTTCCGAACATCTTTCCTTAACAATAAAATGGAACCAACTATCTCTCATTGGAGAGATGGCTCAGGGGATAACAGCTCATATGCATGCCTATGGGTAGGACAGAGCCAATAAGATCACTAGAGTTTGCTGGTTACCAGCCCAGCTCCAGGCTCAAAGACATAAACCACAGGGTGCTCGACAGAATCCTGGATATCCTTCTCTAGCCTTTGCATGGGCACACATCGCCCTCATCACAGACAAATCTGTTGGAAGAATAAAAATACACATAAAAGTCATTTTTGGTTTTTTAGCCAGACCTTGCTATATAGTTCCTACTGGCTTGAAACTCACTATATAGCCCAAGGTGGCCTTGAACTTCAAGTAATCCTACTGATTCAGTCTACAAAGTACCACGATTACAGACAAGTCTGGTAACATAAATGTCTAAAATTGTCTGGCATATAGTATAAACTCATTAAGAATAAACTATTGTCTGGTGGCGGAGGCACACACCTGTAATCCCAGTACTCAGAAGACAGAGGCAGGTGGATCTCAGTGGGGTAGTTTGAGGCCATCCTGGTCTACAAAGTGAGTCCCAGGACAGCCATAACTGTTACATAGAGAAGCCCTGTTGGGGCTGGAGAGATGGCTCAGCAGTTAAGAACACTAACTGCTCTTCCAGAGGAGCTGGGTTCAATTCCCAGCACCCACATGGCAGCTCACAACTGTCTGAAAATGCAGTTCCACAAGATCTGACACATTCACATCAATGCACATAAAATAAAGTTAAATAAATCATAAAAAAGAAGCCCTGTCTCAATTATAATAGCTCACCACTGCCCAGTAATAGCAACCAATGGAGCATCTGCTAAATGAAATACACTTTGAACTCATTACTACCTCTGTCTTCTTTCTTTCTCTCTCTTTTCTTTTTAAGTGTGTGCTTTGCCAGTGAGACAATGCTCTCAGCTTATTTTTTGGTTTTGGTTTTTCGAGACGGGGTTTCTCTTCGTGACAGCCCTGGCTGTCCTGGAATGTACTCTGTAGACCAGATTGGCCTTGAACTCACAGAAATCCACCTGCTTCTGCCCGAGTGCCAGGATTAAAGGCACTGCCACCACTGCTCAGCTACTACCTTTCCCTTCCAAAGCACCACTATGGACAGAATCCTGCCGTTTTATAGATGTGAAGTGGAAGGTCACCAAGGTTCGGTTTATTCGGGTTTATTCGCTCTATGTCTGACAGAACAGCCATCACCCATCATCACACTTCTTATCTATGTAGCCCAACATTCCTGGTCATTAGCCACAATCTAACACCTCGTATTTATACTACTATTTTGAAGACCCTTATTTATTTAGTCTTTTGTACTTAAAGACCACACAGGCATTATAACATTTGTTTGATCTAGTTTTTAGCCAAAGTGGAATGAGAAAGAAAATACATTGTCAAGAAGGTAATAGTAAGAACTACCTCATTATCTAAGAATCTTCTCTCATTACTTAGGATATCTTCTATATCCAAACTTCATCCCTGCCAAGTTCAATAGCCAAAGATAATTGCTAGAGGCAATCAATATTAGTGAGGCAGAAACAGGAGACACAGCCTGGACCATATCAAGTCCAGCTAGGACTAAATAACCAAGAAGACTATCTCAAAAAAACAAAAAATAAAAATGAATATAAGTTAATGAATTGAAGTATATTTTAGACTTGCATGGCTGTTTTTCTCTTTTCTTGTTTCTCTCTTTTTATGCATGGAACGTTATATTCAGTGTTCAATAACCTTCCCCACATACAACCATCACTGAAAAGCATAAAATGATGAAAGATTAGGAAAAAGCTGGGAGGAAGAAAATAAAAGTATGTCTAAAAAGAAATAGGAACTGGGCCTGGTGGCACACACCTTTAACCACAGCACTCAGAGACAAAGGCAGGCAGATCTCTGTGAGTTCCAGTCCAGCCTGGTCTACAGAATAAAATGAAAAAAGAGGAAGCTGGGCATGGTGGTAAACACCTATAACCAAGCCTATTAGGGAAGCTGAGGCAAAAGGACTGCAGATCTGAGGCAGGCCTAGGCAACACTGCGAGAACATCCTGTTTTTTCTTTAAATAAAGTGAAAAGAGAAGTTCTGTTGGGCTGAGATTTAAATGGCTCAGTACGTTAAAGTACACACTCAGCATATACAAAGAAGGCCTGGATTTCAATACTTAGCAACATTCATATCAGCAGACAGAGTATAGGATAGAGTGCTGCGCACTATAATGAATCTACTTATTTTTCTTCTTTTTTTTTTTTGGTTTTTCAAGACTGGGTTTGTTTGTGTAAGAGCCCTAGCTGTCCTAGAACTAGCTCTTGTAGACCACGCTGGCCTCAAACTCACAGAGATCCACCTGCCTCTGCCTCCCAAGTGCCGTTATCACTGTCTGGCCTATTTTTACTCATTTTTAAAAGTATTACATTTATTTATTTATGAACAGTGTGCCAGTGGAGGTCAGAGGGCAACTTTCCAGGGTCTGTTCTCTCTTTCTACCATGTGGGTCTCTGGGATAAAGACCAGGTCAGCAAGCTTAGCAGCAAGCAACCTTACCTGCTAAACCATCTTAGCAGGCAAATTGATTATCATCATCATCATCATTATTGTAGTTTTTTCTTTTGAGATAAGCACACAGTTCTGAAGGTTTATTTCAAAATTGTCATTGCACTTATGAATAAGGTCACTTAGGTCACAGGCAAACCATGGAGAAAGGATAAAAGACCGACAGGAACACCTTTTCTTCATGGAGAGGAAAACCGGCCACAGAACAGAATCCCATTGGTCTTAACATGCTGAATGAAGAAGAGGAAGGGGTGGTCGGCACAGAAGCGGGGAGTGTACAATGGTGACCCCAGAATGAAAACGGCAGCTGTAGCAGCCACAGCCTCTGTGCCCTCCTCATTGACCTCCATAGAGGACTTATGCACAACCTTGGACAGAGACAAGCCTTACTTGGAAGATATTCCAGAAAAGTCTGCCCCATTATCAAAGGTATCAGTCATGCCCAGCTTGCATAGGAAGTCCTTCATGTCATAATTCTCCTCCAGTTTAAACTGTGGGAGGAAAACCTCCTCCTTTTGTTCTTGCATCTTGTTCAGCTGCGTCCACTCTATGAACTTCTCATAAGTTATTTCCTTTTCCACCATTCTCAAGTCAATGTGTTCATCTGGAAACATGATGATCATGTTCAGCTCATTGCCAGCATAGGGAATTAACAGAATTTTGGTGGATATCTCTTCCACATAGGTCATCTTAAAAGTAGACTTCTTAAACATCATTTGCACAAGTTTCTCCTCATTCCTGGAGACTTTGAAAGGCATCTCCTGAGTGTCCTCTTTGTCAAATTGCTTCTCCCAGTTTCCTTGGAAGTAAATGGCATTTACAAGGACCAGAACAGTGTTTCACCATGTCATGAGCCAGCATCTCTTTAATTTTATTTTCTGTCTTTTTGGCGACCCAGGAGTTGATGTGCTGTCGGGACTGCTCTGTATCACCCTTAAAGTCCAGCACTTCCATCTCTGCTCCATAGAACTTGCGGCAGGAATCTTTAAAAGATGCCAAGATATCAAAAGTCTTTTCCCCGAAGAGCTAGTTGGCTGTTTTGAGCAAGTACTGTGTACCAGTCTTGTTCACTTCGGTGAGAAGTGACTGGAAGCCCTGGTGGACATCTCCACCTCCATTGCCGCTGCATTTATCCAAAGAGAGTGCCTGAATGATCTGGCTTGCAGTGTTTCCCTTTGCCCCCATGAAGACCATGGCCAGGGATGAGGAGATGCTCATGGGTGAGAAAAACACATTTTTCGAGCTGTCTTCACCCAGGATTTTCAAAAGGTTTAAGGCAAAGGTGCCATTTGCTTCCTGAAGAGGATCCATGATAGCGAGCCCTGGACTCTAGGATCAGTGGCCAGACATGAACTGAGCAAAGATATGAAGGAGCTGCTTGCTTCTTGGGCCTCAAATTCCGATTATTGTAGTTTTTTAAGCCAGGGCCTCAGGGCTAGAGAAATGGCTTAGAGGTTAAGAGCACTGGCTGCTCTTCCAGAGATCCTGAGTTCAATTCCCAGCACCCACATGGTGGCTCACAACTATCAGTAATGTGATCTGGTGCCCTCTTCTGGCCTGCAGGCATACATGCAGGCAAAACACTGTATACATAACAAATAAATAAACCTTTAAAAAAAAAAAAAAAAGACAGGCCGGGCGGTGGTGGCACAGGCCTTTAATCCCAGCATTCGGGAGGCAGAGGCAGTTCGAGACCAGCCGGGTCTACAAGAGCTAGTTCCAGGACAGGCTCCAAAACCACAGAGAAACCCTGTCTCGAAAAAGAAAAAAAAAAAAAAAAAAAAAAAAAAAAAAAAAAAAAAAAAAGACAGGGTCTCCTGTAGCTCCCAGGTGGTCTCACACCTTCCTAGCTAAGGACGACCTTGAATTTTAATCCTTCTGCCTCTACCTCCCAAACCTCCCAAGTATGTGCTTCACCCAGTGTTTATAGGGTGTGGGAATCAAACACAGGGCTTCACGTAAACTGACTAAGCACTGTACTGTGATACAGCTCTAATCCCTTATTTTCAGCCCTTTATTCCTCCTCCTTTCTTTTTCCTTCTTCCTCGTCCTCTTCTTCTCCCTCTTTGAGACAGCTCAAGCTGTCCTCCACCTCTGTTCTCCTGAAATTAGAAGTGTGAGCCACCAGACCCAGCCTTGATTCTAGCTCTGAAACAGAACAAAACTATAAATGACATGATGAAATGAAAAAACCTTCATCTTTCAAAACACTGGCTATCTGTATAAGGAAAAGCAGAGTATTTTTGTTCCTACCGTCTGGTGGCTATGTACCCGGAGTGAGTCATTTTGAAGCCCTGGGGAGGATGGCCATATATCAGTTCATTCCCTTTACAAATTTTACTACCACAAGCCGGGTGTGGTGGTACCTGCCTTTAATCCCAGCACTAGGGCAGCAGAGGCAGAGGCAGGGGGATCTCTGTGAGTTCGAGCCCAACCTAGTTTAAGTATCAGGTTCCAGGACAGCCAGGGCTGTTATACAGAGAAATCCTGTCTCAAAAACACAAAACAAACAAAAAAAGAAAAAAGAGAGAGCAAGGATAACAAATTTTACTACCAAAAAAAAGGTACTTGATTAAAAAAGCCAACCAAGAAGTCATCTCTATTTATTAAAATTAATTTAACCTTGATAAAAATGCATTAATAAGTAGATAACACATTTTCCTTATACCTCCACAGAATAACCCACAAGGGTATTGTACCTGCTCAATCAAATCTTAATTCTATAGTCAGAGGCAGCATACACAAGTTTTGTTCCGTTCCCTTCCTTGCTTGCTTCTGCTGCCGCCAGTATCTGGACTCTTTTTCAGCTATAGTGTGTGTCTTCACAAACTGCTTCCCCTTCAGGATGTGACAACTGCAACTGAAAATGTCCTGCTTCTTCTTTCTATTTTCATCCTTTTTTTTTTTTTTTTTTTTTTTTTTGAGACAGGGTTTCGCTGTGGCTTTGGAGCCTGTCCTGGAACTAGCTCTTGTAGACCAGGCTGGTCTCGAACTCCCAGAGATCCACCTGCCTCTGCCTCCCGAGTGCTGGGATTAAAAATATTTAAAATTTTACAATCCCTCTCAGGTTTTACGTGGATTTACCATACTACGTTGGGCACCAATTTGTTGGAGAAGGCCGTTTGTTCATCCCTGCCACCAAAAACTGAAATTATCACACAGAAACTGTATTAATTAAATCAGTGCTTGGCCCATTAGGCTAACTCTTACATATTAATTTAACCCATCTCCATTAATCTGTGTATCGCTATGTGGCTGTGGCTTACCAGATAAAGTTCTGTCTGGCTCTGGTGGGGCTCCATGGCTTCTCTCCCACTCTGCCTCCTTTCTCCCAGCATTCAGTTTAGTTTTCCCCTCCTAGTTCGGCTCTACCCTATCATGATTTCAAGACAGTTTCTTTATTCATTAACCAATAAAAGCAACACATAGACAGATGAACCTCCCACACCAATGTGCCACAACTGACTCAAATCCTTTTCTTAAAAAAAGGAAAAAATAATGGACTGGAGAGTTGTCTCAGAGAGATGCTCTTCCAGAGGTCCTAAATTCAATTCCCAGCAGCCAAAAGACAGCTCACAACCATCTATAATAGGATCCCATGCCATATTCTGGTATGCAGGTATACATGCAGAATACTCGTACATAAAATATAAAGAAATAAATCTGGGCGGTGGTGGTACACACCTTTAATCCCAGCGCTTAGGAGGCAGAGGCAGGTGGATCTCTGTGAGTTCGAGGCCAGACTGGTCTAAAGAGCTAGTTCCAGGACAGGCTCCAAAGCTACAGAGAAACAAAAGAAAGAAAGAGAGAGAGAGAGAGAGAGAGAGAGAGAGAGAGAGAGAGAGAGAGAGAAAGAAAGAAATTTTTAAAAAGAAAACAGTACTAGGAATAGAACCCAGGGCCTCCTACATGCTAGTAAAGCATTCTACTATTAAGTTACACACGAAGCCCCCAGATCCTTTGGGAAAATGTGGTAAATCTCATTAAGGACACATTTGAACACACTGTCTTACCCACCCATAAATGTTTTGTTTCTGCAGGTTCTTCTTTTACTACATCCTCTTGGCTATTACATTTCCTTAACCACATTTTATAATAGGTAACTTTGAATTGGGTCATTTTTACCCAGAGCAAGACATCATCAGGTATCTACTGAGGGTCAGGGTCAGCAATCCAAACTAGATCATGGTCCCAGTACACACTGGTAAAGACTTTACAGATTTATAGTATGGGTTGACATTCTCTCTCTCTCTCTTTCTCTCTCTCTCTCTGATGAGTTTTTTCTTGTTGCTGTTGTGGGTCTTTGTTGTGCTTTGTTTGCTTGATTTGGTGTTTTGAGACAGGGACTCTATATAGCTCTTCGCTGTCCTGGACCCACTATATAGACTAGGCTGGCCTGGAACTTACAGAGATCAACTGCCTCTGCCTTCCAAGAGCGAGGATTAAAGACACGTGCCACCATTCCTGGCCTTATTCTCTGTAATTTTTTTTTTTTTTAGTTTGAAATCATTCTTTTTAATACCACCCGTAAAAACAGCTATTTCCTGTCAGAAAGTGAGTTAAATAAATTGTCTGTAAAAAGCTGCAGGAACTCAGCGGGTGGTGGTGGCACATGCCTTTAATCCCAGCCCTTCGGAGGCAGAGGCAGGCGATCTCTGTGACTTCGAGGCCATCCTGGTCTATAGAGCAAGTTCCAGGGCAGGCTCCAAAGCTACAGGGAAACCTTGTCCTGAAAAACGAAACAAAACAAAAACAAAAGGGTGCAGAACTCACTTCAAGTAGGTGTTCCCACAACTCCCTTGGGTCACCAGTTCTACAAGATTCAGGGCTGGAATGACATCCTCAGGGGTGGGGGTGGGATGTCATAAACCAGTCCCATGACCTTTTGTTTTCCCCTTGGACCTTTTTAGCCCTAGAAAATATCTATCTTGATTGACCACATTGCAAGCAAAAACACATACCGTCTTCCCCCCCACCCCCAAATGAGGCCTAGACGAATGTTGGCAGGGCCAAGGATATTTGTCGCCTTTCAAGGCGACCAAAGAACTGTACCTCGATGTCCCTGGAGCCCGCCCTAGCGAGCCAGGAGTCGTGGCCCGGGCCCTCGCTGTGCTGCAGGCCGAGTCAGGCTTCAGAAGGAGCCCTCCCACACCATCCGTACCCCCTACCTCTCTCGCGCGCAGCCCAGCCATCTTCCCTGGGCCTCCGCTCCCGCCAAAGCGCTCCTCGCCCTCTGATTGGCTCTCCCGGGAGCCGCCGTCCAATGGGGATGACGTCTTCGCGCACGTCGGGAGCGCCGGGCGGAGGAAGGAAGTCGTCGGAGCCCTCGACGCCTGGCCCCCCAGAGCGCGAGGATGGCAGCGCGCGGTGTTTAGCCCAGGCCGCGTGGCCTCAGGCCCTCGTCCGTCATCACTGCCCGGTGCATGTGGCTGCTGGCGACCCGGGGAGACTGCAGGACCCGTGTGGGCCGAGCCAGCGGTGGCCGTGGGGGGCAGCCCCGACCTCGGGCCTGCACTGGCTCCATGCTCCATTCCCAGAAACCCTCGCGCCCGAGATCCCTCTTCCGCGGAGTTGGGCCCCGGGGCCCAGGCGTGCGAGGCCATCTGCTTTGCAGGACCTTCTGTGACGCGGTTGCCTCCGCCTAACCCTCGCTCCCTGGTTTCGGGATTGCGAGCCAGCGCCATCACTGAGACAGTGAGCCCACCTGCGCCGCTTTGCGCAACCTCCCTGCTAGAAACAACTGGAGCAGAGGAAACACAGGACAGCAGGACCGAATTTACTGCAGAACCGTTCCAGATTGGGTCTGAGGACAAGGCTAGGTATTGGTACTTTGGAAAGCTTCCTTGTTCATCCACATTTCCTCTGGCTGGGGTGAGAATTAGTCTCACGCCCCCCTCCCCCCCCGTTCCCTCAATCCCTTCTTGGTATAAGGCCTCACCTTTTAAAATTATGTTTTGAGAACTGAGTTCACTAAATTGCCCATACTAGTCTGAAGCATATAATACTCCTGCTTGGCCTCCTGAATAATAGCTAGGATTACAGACGTGGGAACGCCAAGCCCAGTTGATGCTTCTCTTTTCTTAATTTTCCTACTCGCTGTTTTCTTTCCCGATAGCTTTGACGTGAACTATTCAGACTCCACAGTGCTACCTGAGAGAAAACTCCATAATCATACCAGAAAAAGAACACAGCCGTGCAGTAAGTGGGGCTGGGGTAGTGGGCCTGGTGGGCGGGGACACAAACACACACACAAACACATATCTAGAAATTTAAGTCAGAATATCCATTTTGTTTGGTTGGGAAAGGAGGGTCAAATGCATACCTCTGTTTGCTCTGTTGTTAATCAAGCAGTTAACCAAGCTCACGAAGTCCATACATTTGCAAACTGACAAGATCATTCTGGTTCACTTTGATCAATCAACAGTGATTTTTTTAAATTTTTATTTATTTATTTATTATTATTTAGTTAGTTAGTTATTTTTGAGTTTTTTTCGAGACAGGGCTGCTCTGTAGCTTTGGTGCCTGTCCTGGAACTAGTTCTTGTAGGCCAGGCTGGCCTCGAACTCACAGAGATCCTCCTGCCTCTGCCTCCCAAGTGCTGGGATTAAAGGTATGGGCCACCACCGCCAAGTTCAACAAGCCTTCCAAATCCTCTTTTCTTGATTGTGCACCCTCTGCTGGTTAGTGTGATAAGTGAGCTTAAAGAAAGGTGCATATGGCTTCCCAGAGTCAGTTTTATAGTCAGCAGTATTGTCTTTGCAAGTGTGAAATCGAAAGTGTGCTGAGATGTGGTGCCCAGAGGGTTCACACTATAGGAGCAAATGAGAAAGGCTGAAGTATTGAATTTTCTTTTGAGTCCGAGTCTTTCTGGCCTCAAACTCAGTCCTCCCACCTTTTCCGCTCAGTTGTTTGAGTTACAGACACATACCACCATTGTCCACATTTGTTGTGTTCTGTTTTGTTGTGTTTGAGACAGGGTCTCACATAGCCTAGGCTGGGCTTGAACTGGTTATATTGGGAGGATGGGTGTCCTTGAATTCCTGATCTTACACTCTGCCTCCTAAGAACTGGACTACAGACATGCTCTACCATGTCTGGCTTGTTTAAAGGTTTTTAAAAGCCCTACATGATAAGTAGTGTTATTTCTGTTTCATGCATAGGAAAAGGGAGTCTCTGAGAAGTTAGGTCACTTGCGTGATGTTGTGCAGCTAGGCTAGTTAGGAGCAGAGCCAAGTTTCAAATGTAGACTTATCTCGCAGCTTCTGCCTGAAACCACTGTTGCAATAGTCTTTCTTGAGATTATCCTCAGCATACCTTCTCAGCTGATGTTTCTTCAACTTGTTGTCGCTCAAATTTCTCCACCATTTCAAAGACAAAAAATAAATTAGGTTTAATTATACCTCTGAAATATATTATCTCACCCACAGGAATCTGAGCCTTGAAAACTTAGAAGATTTATTGACCAGATACAACATGTGCTCTCCTGCCAGTTCCAAAATCCTCTACAGGAATCCCCGGTTCCTCCGGGTAGCTTTTCTGCAGCTTCGTCACCAGCAGCAGAGCGGTGTGTTTTGTGATGCCCTTCTGCAGGCAGAGGGTAAGAAAATAAAGGAGGCTCAGCTGAAAATCATTGTAGAATAAGGTAAAATGAGTCCAAGGCCAGAGGTAAATAATAAACCCAGGAGAATGTTCTTGCTGTAAACTCTTTGGTGGAAAGTTGTTTTATTTCCAGGATAATCAGTGTTGGGAGGAGATGGGGTGTTGGTGGTGCTGTTTTGTTAAGGTGGGGTCTCACTGTGCCCCTCTGTAGAACTCACTATATAGACCAGGCTGGCCTCTGCTTCCCCAGGGCAGGGATTAAAGGCTTTCTTTCACCACCACACCTGGTTTAGGGTAAGTCTTGTTTTTGTTTTTTTGAGACAGGGACTTCAGCCTAGGCTTTCCTCAAACTCAATGTAGCTGAAAAGGGCCTGGGACTTCTAATTTTCCTGCCTCCTGAATGTACCACCACTCTAACATGCATGCAGAGCTGAGGATCAATCCTGGTTTGTTTTTTTTTTTTTTTTTTTTGCGTGCTAGGCAGTCATTCTTCCAAATGAGCTCTCTCCCCAACCCTTCTAAAACTCTTCTTAGAAGAAAAATTGTTGGGGACCAGAAAGCTAGCGATGGCTACGAGCACTGACTGCTCTTCCAGAGGACCCTAGTTCAGTTCCCAGCACCCACATTCCAGTTTATCACTGTCTGTGACTCACACATGTTGTGCACAGATATATACATGCATGTAAAGCACGTAAAATAATTAGGAAAATTTTAAACAGTTAAACTGTTACTATGCTTTTTCCTCCTACAATTAAAACTAGAATGGGGAGAGAAAGAGAACTCATTAGCTAAGAACACCTGCTGATTTTTTGTACCAGCTTACAACCAGTCATAACTCAGGGGATCAAATGCCCTGTCAGCAACAGAAATATGAATTTAAAACATAAAATTAGGGCCAGGCGGTAGTGGCGCATGCCTTTAATCCCAGCACTTGGGAGGCAGAGGCAGGTGGATCTCTGGGAGTTCGAGACCAGCCTGGTCTACAAGAGCTAGTTCCAGGGACAGGCTCCAAAACCACAGAGAAACCCTGTCTTGAAAAACCAAAAAAAAAAAATAAAAATAAAAAACCATAAAATTAGGAAGTTAAAGGATCACCAATTCAAGGAGAGCCCAGGCTACAGAGTGAGTCATACTCATGCATGCTACTCCTGTGTGTACTTAGGCTAGGTCACACATAGATACACGTTTATTTTGTGAGCTGGGAGGTGTTGCTGCAGTCCCTAGGTGAAGGTCAGTTTTCTCCTTTTATCCTCTGGGTTTTAGGGCTGAACTCAAATCTGTAGGCGTGGTCAGCTGCTAGCACTTTCCATGATAAGGCATCTTTTGAGACCCAAGTCTCAAAACAAAAAACAAACATAATCTGTCAGTGGTGGCACACACCTGTAATCCCAACACTCGGAGACTGGCTTGAAAATTTCTGAGTTCAAGGCTAGAGATAATTCCAGGACAGCCAGGGCTATTTACAGAGAAACCCCCCCCCCAAAAAAAACCCACAAAATCCCCAAACAACAAAAATAATACAAAGCTGGGGTAAGAGGTGCTGACTGGAGAGATGGTTAAAAGTACTTGTGTTTTGCAGAGAACCTTGGTTCCGTTCCCAGTACCGACATGGCAGCTTAGTGGTTATCTAGTTCCAAGAAAACTAGTGCCCTCTTCTGGCCTCAGGCATCACTGAAAGCAAAACATTTATACAAATAAAATAAAAATATATAAAATTGGGGGCTGGAGAGATGGCTCAGTGGTTAAGAGCATTACCTGCTCTTCCAAAGGTTCCGAGTTCTATTTCCAGCAACCACATGGTGGCTCACAACCATCTGTAATGAGGTCTGGTGCCCTCTTCTGGCCTGCTGACATACACACAGACAGAATATTGTATACATAATAAATATTTTTAAAAAAATATATAAAATTTTAAAAAGTTGGGGCTGGAAAGATGGCTCAGAGGTTAAGAGCGCTGGCTGCTTGCTCTTCCAGAGGTCCTGAATTCAATTCCCAGCAACCACATGGTGGCTTACAGCTGTCTATAATGAGATTTGGTGCATATGTATAGGCAGAAGACTATATTTAAAATAAATAAATATTTTTGAAAAAAGTCGGGCATATAGTTCAGTTGACAGAGCCTTAGTATAGTTTCATGAAGCTCTAGGTTCAGTTCCCCAGAATAGATTACACCAGGCACAGCAGTGCATGCCTGTAGAAGCAGGATCAGAAATTCAGCTCACATTTTACTTCAGAGGGAATTTTAAACCAGCCTCGATCACATGATATTTGGCCTAAAAATAACTAAGTAAGAAGGTAGCGAGATGGCTCATTGGCTAAAAGTACTAGGTGTGCAAGCATGAGGACCTGAGCTCAAATCCCTAAAACCCAAGACAAGTCTGTGCCTTGAATGCCCCATACAAGGAGATGGGAGGCCAAAGACAGAACCCTGGAATCTCAAATACAGCTGGTCTGGTGTAGAGAGCAGGTAGAAACAAACAGATCCTGTGTCAAAGAAAGTGAAAAGTGAAGACAGATATCCCAGGGTGTCCCCTGACCTGTATGTATATGCTATCACACACACACCCGTGCCCACAGACACACAAATAGGAGCTAGGGAGATGGCTCAGTTGGTAAAGTACTTGTCTTTCAAGCATGAGAATCTAAGTTTGGCTTGTTGGCACCCAGATAAAAAGCTGAGTGCCTTGATATGTTCCTGTAATTCCAATGCTAGGGATTTGGAAGCAGAAGGACCCCTGGGGTCCGTTGGCTAGCCAGTCTAGCCAAATTGGTGAGGTCCAGGTCCAATCAGAGACCCTGTCTTAAAGGATAAGGTAAACAATTGACTGAGGTCAACTTCTAGCTTCCGAGTACCCTAAATAAGTAAATATAAAGGAACTATAGGGGTTAGGGAGATTGCTCTATGGGTAATGAATTTAACATGCAAATGTGAAGACCTGAGTTTGAATCCTCAGACCCCAGGTAAAGCCAGTACAGCTCCGTGCACCTCCAGTCTCAGTGCTCCTTTGCCTAGGTGGCAGGCAGAGGCATGAAAATCCTTGAAAGCTTATAGACCAGCTAGCCTGGCCTTTTGGAGGACAGCAAAGAGACTCTATGTCAATAAGGCGAAACGTGGGGATGACACTTGAGGTTGTCCTTTTACTTCCATGTGCACACAGTCGCTTGAAGACATCACCCCTTCAGAGACACGTATGCACACACACAAAGGAGATGAGAGTCTGATGTAGTGGTGTACATCTTTAATCACTATTGTCAAAAGGCTCATGGATTTGAGCTAAGTCTGGGCTATATAACCAGGCCTTGTCTGAAAATAAGCAAAGAAAAACAAATTGCAAGTTTTATGGGCATAGAAAATCTATAAAATGCACATAATAGCCTAATGGGATAGTTGCAGAAGTTTAAGATATGTCAAGCACTTAAGAATTTTTTTGTTTAGTTGGGTCTTTTGAAAACAAGATTTCTTGCTGGGCAGTGATAGCTCACGCCTTTAATCCCAGCATTTGGGAGCAGAGGCAGACAGATCTCTGAGTCTGAGGCCAGCCTGGTCTACAGAGCGAGTTCCAGGAGAGTCAGGACTACACAAAGAAACCCTATCTTGAAAAATCAAAAGGAGGGCTGGAGAGAGGTTAAGAGCACTGACTTCCAGATGTCCTGAGTTCAATTCCCAGCAACTACATGGTGGCTCATAACTATCTGTAATGAGATCTGGTGCCCTCTTCTGGTCTGTAGCATATATGTAGGGAAAATGTTGTATACATAATTAATAAATAAAAATCTTAAAAAAAAAAGAAAGAAAGAAAAGGGAAAAGAAAACAAAATTAATTTATCCTATGTAAACAGACTGCACCTTTGTTTTCTGGCCACCCAGACTCAAATAAACACACGTAAACTGTATTAATTACAACACTGTTTGGTCAATAGTTTATGTGTATTCCTACCTAGTTCTTATATCGTAAATTTACCCATTTCTTTTCATCTGTGTATCACTACGAAGCTATGGCCTGTAAGGTTCCGGCATGTTTCCTTTGGCAGCTACGTGGCAACTCCCTGACTCCCACCTCCTCCCTCTATATATCCCTTTTTGGATTTCCCACTTGGTTGTACTCTGCTAAGCCATTGGCCAAAACAGCTTTATTCATCAACCAATAAAAGCAACACATACACAGAAGGACCTCCCACTTCACTCCTATAGCTCATATTGGCCTTGAGAATGACTGTGAACTGCTGATGTTTCTACCTTCCAAGTTTTGAGGGTTACCAGCATGCACCACTAAACCTCGCTTAGATAATGGTTTTTTGTTTGTTTGTTTTCTTGGTTTTTTGAGACAGGATTTCTCTATAGCTTTGGAGCCTGTCCTGGAACTAGCTCTTGTAGACCAGGCTGGTCTCGAACTCACAAAGATCCACCTGCTTCTGCCTCCTGAGTGCTGGGATTAAAGGCGTGTGCCACCACCGCCTGGCCTAGAATATGGCTTTTAAAGCCCTAAGCATCTACTATAGTTGGAGGCTGCTCATTCATTTCCTGGCCGCCCAGACCCAAAATAACCACACATAAACTGTATTATTACAACACTGCTTGCCTATTAGCTCATGCTTTTTATTGGCTAGCTCTTATATCTTAAATTAGCCCATTTCTTTTTTTTAAATATTTATTATGTATACAATATTCTGCCTGTATGCCTGAAGGCCAGAAGAGGACGCCAGACCTCTTTACAGATGGTTGTGAGCCACCATGTGGTTGCTGGGAATTGAACTCAGGACCTTTGGAAGAGCAGGCAATACTCTTAACCACTGAGCCATCTCTCCAGCCCCAAATTAGCCCATTTCTATTAATCTGTGTATCACCATGTGGTTGTGGCCTATGGGTAAGGTCACATCCAGTGTCTGCCTCCTACAGTGGCTACATGGCAACTCTGACTCCGCCTACTCTCTCTCTCTCTCTCTCTCTCTCTCTCTCTCTCTCTCTCTTTCAGTCTGGCTTTACGTTGTTAAGCCATTGGTCGAAAGCAGCTTCTTTATTAGCCAATGGCAATAAACCTATTCACAGCATACATCGCCTCCCACATCACACATTTGGTTCAGTCAGTAAGTGTCTTGGGAAAGTTCTTTCTCTCTCAGTTGTCAATATTACCCACAGANCCCCCCCCCCCCAGGTGAGGCTGTCCCAGCCCACTGTTGCATCCTGTCTGCCTGTAGTCCCTTCTTCACCGAACGTCTGGAGCGAGAAAGGCCAGTTCAGGGTCGGAAGGTGGTGCTGGAACTGGGAGGCCTAAAGATCAGGACACTTAGGAAGCTGGTGGATTTCCTGTATACTTCAGAGATGGAAGTATCTCAGGAAGAAGCCCAGGATGTGCTTTCTGCTGCCCGTCAGCTCCGAGTCTCCGAGCTGGAAACCCTTCAGCTGGAGGGTGGAAAGTTAGTAAAGGCTCCCCAGGGCCGAAGACTAAACAGAGAGTGCTTACAACCACCCAGTGCCGCACCAATCTCTGCCAGAGTGGTCACACCGAGCCGCCGCCCTCGACCTCCACTGCCTGCCCCCCACACTCCTGGTCCTCTTGGAGCAGTGAGGTTGAAGTCCTCAGGGGAAGAAGAGGGGCCTCACAAAAAGAGCAGCTTAACAACTGTGGATAGCTTGCCAGAGACCCTTTTACTCAAGAAGAAGGCCAGGATTTGCTCAGCTCAAGAAAGAAGCTTGTCTCCATCGAGCCAGAGAGAAGGGCCTACGGAGAAGAGTGACCCTGCTCTAGGTCCTATGGCACATTGCCATCCTGCCTTGTACCCTTCTGTGGATGAGCAGCTGTTGCCCCGCAAGATCAGGCTGAGTCGCTCAAAGCCATCGGCTCATGTCTGTACACCTGGGCCTTCTAGCGTTCTAAGTGGTCCCAGTTCAGTGCCCACAGCTCCTGGCCGGCGTCTCTGGAGGCAGAGAAATGTAAGTGGAGCAGCACAGGCTGTGGACAAGCAGAAGCCAGGGGACGTCAGTCCTCTGGAGAGCACTCCAGACCCTTCAGATGTTAGGAAGACGGGTGGCGCCAGGAACCAGAGCCCCGAATTCCGAGCCCTTGCCTCCAGCTCTGTAGAGGAGGGACAGGTTGGGAGAGTAAAGCTTAGGAAGATTGTCAATGGTACCTGCTGGGAGGTGGTGCAGGAGCCTCCCCTCAGAAACACCCGAGACAGCCCCCAGGTCCCAGGACCCTCGGATGTAGAAAAGCCTTCAGGAACTCTGCTGGCCTCAGTCAGTGTGCAGGAAATACCTGCTGGATCCCAGCTGTGTCAGGACTCCCCAGAGAGCCCGGGGCTACAGGACATTTTGCTCTGTGCTAGCCACTCCCCAGACCACCCTGTGGTGAAGTCAGAGTTTGGATCTAGCCCGATGCTGATAGGGAAGGAGCCTGTGCTGAACCTCGACTGCAGCGAGCCCTACACGTTTGACACAGCCCTGCTGGGCCAGCCCTGTGAAGCTGAGCAGTACCGGATCACAAGCGCTGCGGCCACCAGTGAGTTGGAAGAGATTCTGGACTTCATGCTATGTGGCTCAGATGCTGAACCACCAGTAGGATCTCTGGAGAGTCCTGGGGCTGAAGGCTGCAGAACCCCAAGTTATCACCTGTCAGAAACAGGAAAGAATTGGATTGAAGGGGAAGAATGGTGTTTGCCAGACATAGAACTCTGGCCCAGAGACCTCACAGGGTTGGAAAAGGAACTGGTTGGTGAAAACAAAGAGCCAGTTGAGCCGCTTAGCCCCCTTGTCATGCCCTCTGAGAACACAGAATCAGCTGAGCCCCTTAGCCCCCTTGTCATGCCCTCTGAGGTGAACAGAGAGGCACTTTCCCTGAGAAGCTCTTGGACTCCAGACCTTGAAATTACCAGCTCCCAGCCACTGGATGGTCAGGGAGAAAAACTTCTCCACCTTGACTCCCCTGACTCTTCCCAAAGGTCTTACAGGGATCTCTCACTTCCGTGCTCAAACTGGGTAGAGACAGGGCTGGATGAGGTATTGTATCCCACGCCCAAGGCAGTCAGGGAAGTGTCTGCTAACCCTGAACTGCGGGACCCATGTCCTGGCAGTTCTGAAGACGAAGAGATTGACGTGGGGAACTGGGCGGAGGAGGATAGGCTAGGGCCTGGTGTTCCCTCTGTCTGGCCTGACCCTTCCTCAGAGTCAGAAACAGAGATTGATATAATAACATAGTGGACAGGCAGGGCGGGGCAGGACTCCTAGGAGGGTGACAACTGTTGATCAGCAAAGGGCTTTCTTGGGAGAAAAGCAAGCACATGTCCCCTCCTCAGCACTGATCTCCCTTCCCCAGGTTTGTGCGCCAGGCAGAAGTTAAATAAATAGCAATACCATGGATAGAAAATTATGAACCTGAGCTATTTCTTTGTAATCCATTTTTCAGTGACAAAATAATTGTGGTCCCCAACTCTAGTTAAGATATAGGAATAGTTAAGACTAGGCCTTTCACAGTTCGAGATCTGACAGTCATTGAAAATTCAGGGACAGTTTGTGTTCTACTTAAAGGATGTCTGCGAAGGAATGAAGCTATCTTACATAGAGCACCAGAATAAGTGGGATCTCAAATGCTCAGGCTGGCACTGAACTGCCTCAGCCCCTGTGGCTGGTGTCACAGTCGGCCACGAAGCCCAGCCACGGGACTTACTCACTGCCAGTATGACAAGCCTAGCAAAAGCCTCGATGGGCCTAGAAGATGTTCTCTCCATAACCACTTCCAAGAAGTAGATTAAAGAGCTGGAGAGATGGCTCAGTGGTTAAGAGCATTGCCTGCTCTTCCAAAGGTCCTGAGTTCAATTCCCAGCAACCACATGGTGGCTCACAACCATCTGTAATGGGGTCTGGTGTCCCCTTCTGGCCTTCTGCATACACACAGATAGACTATTGTATATATAATAAATAATAAATATTAAAAAAAATAAAGATGTGCACCACCACCGAGCTTTTAAAAAAAAAAAAAGTAGATTAAAAGTAGTTGCTTTAAAAACTTTACTTTGGGGGATGCAGAGATGGCTCGGTGGTTAAGAGCACTGCTCTTCCAGAAGTCCTGAGTTCAATTTTCTGGCAACTACATGGTGGCTCACAACCATCTGTAATGAGATGTGGTGCCCTCTTCTGGCCTGCAGGCATATATGCAGACAACACTGTATACATAATAAATAAATAAATTTTTATAATTTTGTTTTACAAAAAACAATCTGGTCTTATAGGCCAGGTTAGCCATGAATTTTCAGTCTTCCTGTCAGTCTCCCAGGTGCTGAGATTGCAGGCATACAGCACCAAACACAGCAACATCCATGTTTTTTTTAAAAGCATCTCACGTTTTACCATAGACCCTACAGTTCCCACACAGAAGTTACTTTACATTATGAAAAGTACAAAGACCAACAACAACCCACAAAGTTAGTTGTGTCCGTCCTTTTAAGACTAAATTCAAATTTGACCCATGCTCGCAGACACTTTAATTTTAACTTTTATTAAACCAATCCAAATAACTTTTACAAGGGCTGCCTCACAACGGAACCATCATTTCTGGTGAGGAAGAAACTGTGGCTTCAGGTACACAGCTTAAGTTTGGCCATGCACTATCATAAATGCTTCAACATCTCCAGGGAATGAAGGCTGCAAATAGATAAGGGAACATGAGTAGGTTCCAGGAATCACAAGGACCAAGAGAGACATGCACAGTCCCAGCTATGGTTAGCCACACAAAAACCCCAAATCCAGAGTGCACCCAACATTCAAGTGCAGAAAACATGCCAAAGCACAGTATGAAGCACTAGGGACAAAATAAGTCCACATAGCTAATAAGGGAGTGTGGGGGGGGAATGCTACCTTATCACACAGACTATTACAAAAACCAGAAAAAGTGCATGTAAAGCTAAGTAACAGCAAAGATTCTGGAGAGACCTTAACTACAGAAACTGACACGTCACACTGTCGAACCAGTAACATTTGCAAGAGTCATGGAATTAAAATAGTCACCTGCCGGGCAGTGGTGGCGGCACGCCTTTAATCCCTGCACAGGCGGGTGAGGCAGGCGGATCTCTGAGTTCGAGGCCAGCCTGGTCTACAAGAGCTAGTTCCAGGACAGGAACCAAAAGCTACGGAATCCAAAAAAAATAAAAAATAAAATAGTCACCAAAGATGGGTGATTATTCTGTGAGATAGCTGTAAGGGTAAGACTTTCACAGTCTGCCCAATGTGCGTCCCTGCGTCGTGATACAAACCTCAGCATGGGGGCTCCCTGCACAACGATCTTAGGAAAGGTACTTCTTCAATTCTTTAACCACCTCTTGAGGCTCAGGAAATTTGAGCTTTCGTGGCGGGCCCTTCTTTATACCGGTCCAGAGTTCAGCACCTGAGAAGGATAGGATAAAGCTAAATCACGATGGCACCCACTACCCCATCCCCTCAGTCATAGGTGCTCGGGTTTCATTTCCCGCCCCAACCCCACCGCGGCCTCCACTCACGGCTGTTGTCCGCGCGCAGCAGCGTCACCTCGAAGCTGCCCCTCCGCGGCTTGGAGGGGTTCACCTGCACAGGCAGCTCTGGGGCCTCCAGCTGCAGAGCCTGGCTCAGGGCAGCAGCGTGGCGCCCGTAGACGCGTCAGCTCGTGCTGCGGACACAGGGAATGCAGACGGGGCCTGTGGTCCCAGCGGCCCGGGTCTACGCTTCCCGTCCGCCCCCTTCCCCCGACTCCCCGGCCCCTCACCAGTGCTCAATGACCACCGCCGGGCCCTCCGCCAGTTTCTCGCGCTTGTCCACAGTCTCTGCCGGCGCGGCCTTCCGCTTTCTTCCGATAGGAGCCATGGTGGGGACCTCCGGCGGCAGATGCAATGTGGGGCTGGGGCGCTGGTAGGATAGGGTGGCGACGCAGACCCGAAGGACAAAGCTGCAGCCCCAAACCCCCGCTTCCAAGTACAAACCTCTCGCGGGTAAAGGCACCCACGTGACCTGAAGGCGGGCCCTTCAAGCACGACTACGCTGCCTATCAGAAGGGGGTGGGGGCGATGCAGAGGACCGGATCAAACCACCCTGTGTTGCCTAGGGGACTACGCTGCCTATCAGAAGGGGGTGGGGGCGATGCAGAGGACCGGATCAAACCACCCTGTGTTGCCTAGGGGACGTGCACGAGGGACTCAGGGAGAAAACAAAAAGCAAAAACAAAACAAAAAAAAAGGCTTGGCGCCGGGTAGGGACTTTCTGTACCTAAACCGTCTACTCCAGAATCTGTGGACCAATTCCACGTGAAGTTTACACCGCATTTCCGTGCCATTTGTACAGACTACAGAAACTCGCCAACTTGCACCTAACTTGGAGATCCAAGTCCTCACGTGGTGAAACCAAAGGGTGTGGCCTTTTATGTTAAGTGGACTTTGAACCCCAGCCCATTAACGACCCAGGCGCAGTAGCTGGCGCCTTTAGTCTCAGGTAACTCTCAGGTATTTAGGTGAATCAAGGGGGATGGTGATTCAGAGGTTAATCCCTCCAACAGATCAAGACCCTCACCCACAAACTTAAAAAAAAAAAAAGTTAATTAGGCTCTATAGGTGTGTTTGGCTTAGAGTACCTGAGTTCAATGTTCAATCCTAGATTCAAAAAACAGCAACAACAAAAATCGGAGCAGTCCCTTTGCAGCTGCCCACTTTCTAATAAAGGAGAAACACCAAGGCAATCAAAATAACAATCCCTTTATTAGGGAAAGCTGTGTGGACAGCAGGAGAAAACGGCTGCCCCAGCCCTGGCACTTTCTTCTGGTCCCAAAACGCAAAAGAAACTCTCAAGCTTACATTGTCCTTCCTCTAGTTTCCCAATACAGGCGGATCATTCAAATCTATTTCCAACGATGGAAATTCTGGTTGAAGGTTTTTCATCGGGATCAGCGACACTTAAAGATTAAATTACAACACACACCCCTTTTCGGTGTTCTGCCTTCATGGATGATGGTGCACCACATGCATACAGGGCCAGCCAAGGCCAGGAGGTGATGTTGGAGTGCCTGGACTACAGATGCAGACAGTCCAGGCCCCCATGCGACTGCTAGGCATCCTCCGGGAGAGTCAGTGCCCTTAACTACTGGGCCATCTCACCAATCCCTTAAGATGAACTGTTTTATGAATGCTACAGATCAAACCAGAAAGGCCTAAAGGAAGAACGGCTCCTTGAGGAAGAATTCTTAGTGCTTCATACTCTGACATCTAATATTAGAGCTTAATTTAGTCGATGCTTTGCAGGCTCACTAGGAGGAATAATGAAACCACAGCCTGGTGATATCCAAGCGTTGAAAAGCAGTTTACACACTGATCCAACCTTGGAGGGAAATCTTTTCTACCTCTATGAGATCATCTCTCCCTTCCAGAAACACTTGGCCAGGGTAGAACAGTCCTTCATTGCTTCATGGTTCCCTAGAAGCTTCTTTAAAAACCAGAAGCAGGCACCCTGCCCCAACCCAGGCACAGTCAAACAGGAGAAAACAAACGGCCACAGCCTCAGGCAGGGATTGTGGTTACAGCTGGAATTGGGCCTCAAAGGTGCCGGAAGTCCAGAGGCAGCAAGAACAAAGCAGGGTCCTATTTGTCCTTCTTGTTTTCCCCATCTGGCACAGCCGGAGCAGGGACCACAGGCTTCTCTTCCGACACACTGTCTCCACCCTTTGACAGCTTCTTGGCTCGTTGGTAGAGCTCGTTCAGATTGAATTCTCGAATCACATTCTCCTATGCAAAAGTGAGGAAAATCAGATACTGGGTGGGAAGGTAAAGTTCAGAGGTGGGGAGTAGAAAATATTTAGCTAAGCATAGTCTAGACAACAGAGGGCAGAAATCTGCCCTAACTTTTCTTTGGCATTTATGTGTCTATTAGCCGTCAATTTTTGTGCCAATATTGTATGTACACACATGCAACTGTGAAGCAAGCCCATGAGCCAGCTGTTACTGCCTCCAGTGTACTGATGAGGACCTCATTGCCTACAGACCACAAGCACCTCACAGAACATGTCTTTATGGTTGTCCTCAGTATTAGCAGCAAGCAAGTAACAAACCTGCAGAGCGACTTACTAGATGACATCCAGTAACTGATCAACACCCTCAAAACTGGAGGGCAAGGGCAGAATTCAGGATTAAACCCAGACTAACTACAGAGCCCATTCACTGCTGTATCCTTCTCCAAACCATTGCCCATTTTTTTTATGTACCTCAGAAAAGGTCCATGAGACAGCTCGTCCTTTCTTGTCAATCTGTGGCCGCCGCATAACCTCCTTGCCACCTTGGAACAGGATCAGGGTAGGGAGTTGTTTGGTGAGGGGTGACGTGCTCACTTTGTACCTACAAGGCCAGAGAGGACTTTGTACATCACTTACATCACTCTAAGAAAGTCTCAGCTCCGACCCTCTTCCCAGGTATCTACATACCGTGTGCTAACGTCGGTATAGCGTCCAACATCTACCTTCCCAAAATTGAGCCCTGGACAGTTGTACCTGCAAAAACATATACCGTTTAACATGCTGAAAAATACTGGGATGGATCAAGGGAACTGGAAATACAGATAACTAGGTAAGAAAGGGGGTTAAGAACTGTGGATGTGCTAAATTAGAGCAAAGGAAGGCAGGCACCACGCTTCCATTTTTGACATGCTTCACCCTGCATACTCACTTGAGGGAGAGGTCAGCATAGATGGGAGCAAATGACTGACAATCATTAGACCAATTGGCAAAGAACTCCACAATCCAAGTGACCCTCTTGTCCCGCTCCAGCTCCTCCTGCCACACAGAGGGAAGAGAGACTAGGCTCAGACCCATGGCTAACGCCTTACCCTGGGCTTCCCCTTCCCCATAACAAACCAGTACCCTGACCACCTTTCCAGGTTTGTTGTACCAAAGACTGAATCCAGTGCCTCACACATGTGAGGCACGCACTCTACCATAAGCGAAATGGCCATTTTTTTTTATTTTATTATTATTATTATTATTATTATTATTTTTTGGTTTTTCGGGACAGGGTTTCTCTGTGGCTTTGGAGCCTGTCCTGGAACTAGCTCTGTAGACCAGGCTGGTCTCGAACTCACAGAGCTCCGCCTGCCTCTGCCTCCCGAGTGCTGGGATTAAAGGCGTGCGCCACCATTGCCCGGCTGGCCATTTTTTTTTTTAAATAACCTAAAAATTTTTTAATTACATTTCTTATGTGGGTATAGGCACACAGGCCACTGCCCACTTACAGTTTTCTCTTTCCAGACTGAAGACAGAGGTTTGGAACTTTTTCTTTTAAAAGTTTATCTATCTATCTATCTATCTATCTATCTATCTATCTATCTATCTATCTATCTATCTATCTATCTAGGACAACTCTGGGGAGTGGGTTCCCTCCTCTACCTTTCCATGGGTTCCAGGGACCCAGCTCAGGTTGTCAGGCTTATGTGGCAAACACGTTCACCTGATGAGCCAACTCACCTGCCTACCAGCTTATGTGGCAAACACTTTCACCTGATGAGCCAACTTACCTGCCTTACCAGCCTTTCCTTGAGACAGACTCTTACTATGTAGCTGGGGCTGCCCTGGCACTCACTAGAAGCCTGCACTGGCCTGAAACTTGCAGCCATCCACTGGATGAGGGGACATACACCTTTAATCCCAGTATCTGGGAGGCAGAGCAAGGTGGATCTCTTCATTCGAGGCCAGTCTGCTCTATGGAGGGAGTTCCAGGACAGGCAACGCTATATAGAGAGATCTTGTCTAAAACACAAAAATGAGGAAACAAACAAGCAGGAAACAGCTCCTGCGGCAGCGCTGCCCCAGCCTCTCGGCTACCAGCCCAGGTACTGACTGCTGTCCTCAAGCAACATCTTTATGAACAGCGAGCACAACCCACACAGCAGGAGCCAAGCGACAGAAGCAGGATACTCACGTCAATGGTTTTATCGCTGAAGTACTTGATGTACTCAGGACCCATGTACAGGGGGGGCTTGCAGGTCATCAGGAACACTGAGCATAGAGTTAACATACATGTCAGAGATAACATAACGGGGTCTCTTACAGATTTGCAAACCCACTTAGTATTTCAGACACCAAAGAATACACATGTCTACATAGATCACCAGCATATATTCTTCTTAAAGTACTGTCCAAGTAAATACTTACCACATACATATAATTAAAAGCTACAAATATAATTCATTAGGTGTAAGATAAAGATTGGAACCTGGTTCTCAAAAATCAAGCCTTTATCAAAGATCTTTACTATTCCAAATTATTAATTATGGAACCTTAACATAATAAATGCAGTTTCTCACCTATGCAGAGTGTGAGGTACAGTAGACCCATTCGAATATCCAGGCGGAAGAAAAGGATCGCGTTGGCCACTTTACTAAACATGAAGATGTTACCTACATGCTGCTCCACGGTGACTGGGACAGAGAGACCAGAGTCAGGCTGGGCACAGGGCTCCCACTCTTTGTCCCTCCTCCTGGGGCACTGACAAGTGGGAACGGGGTGAGAGGACACACAAGTCCAAGGTCAAACTAGCCCCAGGCAGGAAATAAGGCTCCTCTCCTCTACCACTAGAAAGGAGCTTCTGCAAGGCCAGAGTCCTAACCCCCAGCAGTGCAAAGCAGGTCGGCTTACTGGATCTGCGGTTCTTCATCATCACGATGGCACTGAGGAACATCAGAATCTCCACTTCTCTCTGGAAGACAGTCAGTGACAGCCACATGGTGAGTGAGGCTGATGGGACAGAGAGCAGAATGCAAAATGCAAAGCAAGAAATCCAGCTTGGGCTGGTAATAAAGAGATAACTGGAGCTGGCTAAGGTGTAGTGGAACCAACAAGTCAAAGAGTCAGGTTCAGAGTCCACCCTTGGCAACTGCATGTGTCTTTGAGCGAATCCCTGACCTTTGGGTTTCCTCTTTTTCCTCCGTCCCCACTTCTGCCCTTGAGACTTGCTCTCACTATCTTGCCCAGGCAATTCTGCCTCAGCCTCTAAGGCACCAGGATTGTCGTGGCACATCACCACCCGAGCCACAGCACCCGTGTGGAGGTTAGACAACATGCCAGACTCACTTCTTCCTTCTTCTCACTGTGTCGTCCAGGGCGGTTTCAAACTTACTATGCTCCTCCCCCCTCAGCCTCTCAAGGGCTGGATTCTTTTTCATCATTTGGTTTTTAGAAAGGATCTTGCTATATAGTTTAGGTTATATGTTTTTAATTTTGTTTTGTTTTCGACAGTGTTTTGTAGGTCAGGGTGGCGCCCAGCCCCCTATGTTGATCTACTTTAAACTTGTAATCTCCTTGGCCCTGCCTTCCAGATGCTGACAGTACAGATGTACACTACCAGTGAATCTCAAATTTTTATTGTTTTGCACCTTCAGGATACACAGAGTGAGCCCCGCATTCTGGAGGGTAGAGCAGGAGAAAAGCCTAAAGCCCAAACCTGTCTTAGTGACGTCAGTTCCAGGCCAGTAAGGACTACAGGCACAGCTCCACTTTTGCGGGCATAGCCTGGCTCCTCTAATCTTTCAGGAGTCTACTCACGCCAAACTGGGACTCATAGTTCATTAAGAAAGTTTCACAGCTGGCCAGTATGGAGAGTTTGATGTGTGTTTGTTTTTAAAGAATTATCTTTATTTTACATGAATTAGTGGTTTACCTGAATGTATATAAGTGCACTGCGTGTCTAGTACTCACAGACCAGAGGTGAGTGCTAGAACTGGATTACGGACAGCTGTGACCCGACATGTCGGTGTGAGGAACCTCACCCGAGTCCTCTAGAAGAGTAGCCAGTGCTCTAAACCACTCAGCCATCTATCAAGCCCCAAGAGTTAAGGTCTTCTTTTTTGTTTACTTGTGTTTTGTTTTCCAGACAGGATTTCGCTGTAGCTTTAGAGTCTGTCCTGGAGCTCTGTAAACCAGATTGTCCTTGAACTTGTAGAGGTCCACCTGTCTCTGCTCCCTGAGTGCCACCAGCACCCAGCCAAGTTGAGGTCTTCTTAAAACTATTTCAAAAGCAGGGTGGTATGTTCGGGTATGTGCAATTGAATGTAGGTGCCTGAAAAAGACCTCTAAACCTGGAGTTACAGGCAGCCATGAGACTCCTGATGTGGGCACTGGGAACCCAATTTGGATTATCAGAAGTGTGTGTGAGGTTTGTTGTAGTGATATTTCATTTGTATTGTGATAAAGAAAGCTTGCCTAAAGATCAGAAAGTAAAACAGCTGCATTGATCAGCCTTACAGACCAGGCAGTGGTGACACACACCTTTAATTCTAGCCTGAGAGAGGGATATAAGACAGCTCTCAGATGCGGTCTCCTTCTAGATTCCCTGGAGGCAGGATTGCCATTTCCGACTGAGGTAGAGGTAAGAGTGGCTGGCTGTTTTGCTTTTCTGACCTTCAGGTTGAACTCCAGCTTCTGTCTCTGGGTTTTTATTAATTGTGCTACAGTTTGTTTTTGGTTTTTTGAAAGACAGGGTTTCACTGTGTAGCCCTGGCTGTCCTGGAACTCACTCTGTAGACCAGGCTGGCCTCAAATTCACAGAGATCCACCTGTTTCTGCCTCCCAAGTGCTGGCATTAAAGACTTGCGCCACCACCACCCAGTTTCATAAGGCGATTCTTAAGAGGCACCTGGCAGTGTTACAACTTATAAGGTACAAAGGAAAGTAGGGTTTTGGTGTGGTGTCATTTTGAGACAGGGTCTCACTATGTAGTCTGACATGGAATGTGTGATACTGACCAGGAGAGCCTACATCAATCTCACAGAGATCCACCTGCCTCTGTCTCCAGAGTGCTAGGACCAATGGGGTACAACACAAATCCTGGCAAAAGTATGGTATCTTTAATGTAAACCAAGTTAATAATCTTGTTTGAGAGTCCCAGAAGTGTCTGAAGAAAGAAACGTGGCCTACCCAAGGTTATAGTAAAACCTTCCGGCCTTGAGTCTGGGTCACTGCCATTCTAACATAAATATTTGTACAGGAAAGGAATATTAGCTCTATGTCCACTACCTTCACAGCAATGTTAATTGTTCTGAAATTATTGCCCCCCTCCCCGCCTCGTGTTTTTGTAGCCTTCCCTGTTTCTCTACCCCCCTGAAGATGATAGGATGTGCAGTTACAGTGTCTGGGCAGTCGTGCGGTTGCTTTTCCACCTGAGTCATTTTGAGTTAGCGACCTAAGTGGGCCGGCCTATCAGAACTGAACGAGGTAAGGCAGCACTTTTTGAGCGCTGTGTGATCTTGGGAAAGTTGTCTAGCTACACTGAGATCAACTTGCCAAACAGACAGACAGATGACAGACAGACAGACAGACAGACAGACAGACAGACGGACGGATGGATGGATAGGTAGATGATAGACAGATAGATAGAAAAACGGTATTTCTGCTACTGGTCTGTCTTCCTCGCCGGCGCCCCGGGAAGCCTGGCAACCCTGTAGAACACCGTTCCTGTGTGGAGGAAACCCTGGATTCTGTTTCTCCATCTTAAGCCAGGAGGTTCCCAAAATGTCCCCCCCACACTTTCCCGTGCACCCGCCGGCGCGGGGATGGTCAAGGTCGGGAGCTACCGAGGCAGGGGGCGCTCACCCAGTCAAAGTCACACGGGTTGCCATCCTCGCGCTGCGTCGGGAGACCGCTGCAGATCGGCGGCAGTTTCCTCACGAGGAGGAACGCGGCGGACAGCAGCGCGGACAGCAGGCAATAGGGCCGGGCCAGCCATCGAGAAAGCCGCGGCACCGAGTACACCAGGGCGATCAGAGGCGCGAGGACAGCCATCTTCCCGGCCGGGTCCCTCGCCGGCTCCGTCCCGCCCCCGGCTCAACGAGGCTTCTATTGGGCGGGAGAGCAGAGGCAACGCCTCCGGACCCGGATGTAAATGTCTTATTGGACGCTGCGATTAACTAGAAAGTGAGTTGGGTAGTCTCTTGGTCCGTAGGGTTGTCGCTTTTCCAAGTGAGTCATTTTATTGGCTATAAGACTGAGACCCACCTCCCGAACCGTCTCTTAAAGCGACGGAAGTGGTCACCGGAAGTCGGTAGGCGTGGCCTATTGTATCCAATGACGGGAGGTCCTTAGAGGACGAGGGTGGGACCCTGCGAGAGCGCTGTCCAATAAACGTCGCTGACGCCGGATCCCGGGTAACCCGGGAGCCGCGGGTGCCATGGAGAACTTCACGGCACTGTTCGGAGCTCAATCTGACCCCCCACCGCCCCCGAGCGCCCTGGGCTTCGGGCCCGGGAAGCCGCCCCCGCCGCCTCCGCCTCCTCCGGGAGGGGGTCCAGGCGCGGCCCCGCCGCCGCCCGCGAGCTCGGCTCCCACGGGCGCAGACAAGTCGGCGGCTGGGAGCGGCCCCTTCTACCTGATGCGGGAGTTGCCGGGTGAGGGGCTCGCCTTCGTGGGGTGGGTTTGGGCGCTGTCCGCCGTCCACGACTTGGTCACAGCCTGAGCCGTTGTTTGGAACTCGGGAGACGTGTGTAGCAATGTGTAGTATTTATTGTAGCCCTTTTAGATAGATATCGTCTGTATTCTTATTTGTATTGTATTTTGTAATTGACAAACTGCAGCATAAAGACTGTGCTTTAGTGACAGGTGTCTTGCAGAAGTTTTATTTTAGTTGTGACTGTTTTGTTTTGTTGAGACAGGGTCTCACTGTGTGGCTCAGGCTTGCCTGGAATTCACTGTAGTCCTGACTGGTCAGTCTTGAACTCACTGAGATCCACCTCCTTCTGTACCACCAGGCCCACCTTCCTCCAGTAGTTTCTTTATCTTTTGCATTATCTGTTCTGATTGAACCTGTTTCTGTAAATCAGTTGACAAATACTGAGTTCCCATTAGAGGCAAATGCTGGGAGGGATGAGTGTGAGAAGTGGAGATTGGTAAGCTTAGTCTTTAGGTAGCTTTTTTTTTTTTTTATTTAAAATATATGGTTTAAGGATTGTGCTTGTATTCTTGTTAGTGTCAGTCTTATTACTTTGTAGTTACGCTTCACACATCTTAGGTTTTCAAAATGTGCTGTTAGCCAAAATGACATCAAGTATAAGATGTCAGCCAGGCCAGAGGTAGTGCACACCTCTAATCCCAGCATTCGGGAGGCAGAGGCAGACAGATCTCTGAGTTCGAGGCCAGTCTGGTCTACAGGGTTACAGGACAGCCAGGGCTGTTAACACAGACAAACTTTGTCTCAAAAAAACCTTAAAAAGGAAAAATGAAGGAGGAGGGGGGGCGGGGAGATATTTTGCATGGAAGAATAGTGGTTGATGAGGCTCCAAAGCTAAGTTGGAATAAAACTATGAATTGGAAGTCTGGAGATGTACCTCAGCTGGTAGAGTTCATGCTTAGGAGTTCTGGGGACCAGGCATGGTGGTACAAGTCTATAATCTCAGCGCTTTGGGAGGTGTAGGCAGGAAGATCAGGAGTCCAAGGGCATCCTTGGCTCCATCAAAAGTTCAAGGCCAGTCTTGGCTACAGGGGAGTTGGAGAGATGGCTCCAAGGTTATGAGGTTCCCAGAACCCACGTGGGGAGCCTCACAGTTCTCCTTTGCTCCTGCTCCTGGGAACCCAGCACCCTCTGCTGGGCCTCCACAGGTGCTCAAATGGTATGTGGAATACATTCACACAGCACAAACACATATACACACAGATATGGTAAAAATAAATCTTTCGGTCTGAGTTCATATGTTTAATTCCAGCACTTGGGAGGCAGAAACAGGGTGGATCTCTCCAAGTTTGAGGCCAACTTGGTCTACATAGTGAGTTACAAGTCATCCAAGACAAGAGAGGCGCTGTCTCAAAAAAAAAAAAAAATTTAATGAATCAATTTTTAAAAAGCTGGAGCTGGCTCAGTGGTTAGGAACCCTTGTTCTTGCATGTGCTCACAGGCTCTTCAAGCATGCATGTGGCATGCATGCAGGAAAATACTCATACATACAAAATAAAGTAAATCTTAAACCGGGCGGTGGTGGCTCATGCCTTTAATCCCAGCACTCAGGAGGCAGAGGCGGGGCCAGCCTGGTCTACAAAAGCTAGTTCCAGGACAGGCTCCAAAGCTACAGAGAAACCCTGTCTCAGAAAAACAAAAAATAGCCAGGCGGTGGTGGTACAAGCCTTTAATCCCAGCACTTGGGAGGCAGAGGCAGGCAGATCTCTGTGAGTTCGAGACCAGCCTGGTCTACAAGAGCTAGTTCCAGGACAGGCTCCAAAAACCACAGAGAAACCCTGTCTCGAAAAACCAAAAAAAAAAAAAAAAGTAAATCTTTAAAAAAATCAATTAAAAAATAGTATTAGGCCAGGCGGTGGTGGTGCACGCCTTTAATCCCAGCACTCAGGAGGCAGAGGCAGGTGGATCTCTGTGAGACCAGCTTGGTCTACAAGAGCTAGTTCCAGGACAGGCTCCAAAACCACAGAGAAACCCTGTCTTGGGGGGGGGGGGACTAAATAAATAAAAATAGTATTAGGCTCAAGTACCACGATTTGTTTGTTTGTTTTTCAAGGTAGGGTTTCTCTGTGTAGCTATGGCTGTTCTGGAACTCATTTTGTAAACCAGACTCTCCTGCCTATGCCTCCGAGTACTGAAATTAAAATTAAAAGCGTGCACCACCATGTATTATGGGAATTTAAGTAGCAGTTTCCTTCCCGGACTCCCAGGACTGAGAATCAGTGAAGGCCTTCCACATTGCTACACAAGCACTCTACCACTGTTTTTTAATTTTGTTTTAACTAAGAGGTATTGTTTTCATCAGGCAGTGGTGGCAAGGCTTTAATCCCAGCACTGGGGGTGGGGTGGGGGCAGAGGCCGGCAGAGCTCTGTGAGTTCAAGGCCAACCTGGTTTGACATTCTAAGACAGGCTCCAAAGCTAGAGAAACCCTGTCTCAAAATAACAACAAAAAAATAATGTTTTCTACACTTACAGAATGTATTACAGAATGTTGAGGTCCAATAACTGGAAGAGGCCATAGTGATGTGAGCAGGATTTAGAATTTCAAGGAGAGAAAAAAATGAATCTGCATAGGATTGACATTTTAGGATTTGTTTTCAGGAGCCATGGCTTCTGAAAGAAGTTTATAAGTCATTTTCAGAGAACTAGCAGTTTAAATAGAAGTTAAACTCATGTCTGTATTTGTGTTTATTTTATATGTATGAATGTTTTTCTTCATGTGTGTATGTGACATGTGTGGTCTGGTACCCATGGAAGTCAGAGAAGGCATCAGATTCCCTGGAACTGGAATGACATACAAATGCCTGTCAGCTGTGTGGGTGTGGGGCATGCAATCTAGGTCATGTGCTGAGCCAGCTAACCAGCCCCCGATACTTATTTTCTTAATTCCCCCTTTGATGCAGTCTAGTGTCACCCGGGATGGCTTCAAACTAGTGTAGCCAAGGATAAGCATCAGCTCCTGAGCTTCCTACCCCTCCTCCTGGATGCTGGGTTTACTGGTGTGTGCCACTTTGATCAGCTTGTTTAGAGATTATGAAAAGCACTAAGTTCCTTCTCATCTGGAAGGAGACACCCTGGCAAGCAGAAGGCAGTGCCAGTTGTGAGAGGCAATTTCTTTCCAGCAACCACATGGTGGCTCACAACCATCTATAATGAGATCTGGTTCACTCTTCTGGCCTGCAAGCATACATGCAAACAGAACACTGTATACATAATAAATAAATCTTTTAAAAAAGCAGTGAAACAGAAAGCTATTACATAGATAAAAGGAAAGAACAACAGAGAGGACAGCTAGTATTAGAATTCTGGTTACTCATATTTTCATTGAGTAGCTCTTCCTAAGTAATACTTGGTATCATGAAGAATAAATGTATTGGTCACAAGGTAGTCACAGCCACAAAATCTGTTTTCCAATTGTGACTAGTCTTCCTATTAAAGCTGGGTTCCATCTCTATCCTACTTAGCTCCATTTGTTCCATTCCTCTAGCCCACAGTTTAATATTTGTGTGTATTGTATGTTCCCGAGTTGGGGGTGTTTGGGACGGGATCGCTACACAGCCAAGCTGGCCTTGAATGGAGCTGTCTTGCCTCAGCCTCCTGAGTGCTGGCATTCCAGGCTTATGGGTGTGCGCCACTGCATCTGACTATTAAGTTTTTATAGCCTTAGTGTCTATTATCTAAAATGTTTTGAGTTTTTCAGAATATTTGCATAGATTTTACTAGTTACACATCCCAAATCCAGAAATGTGAAGTCTGGAATACTCCAAAATCTGAAATTCTAAGTGTTGGAATTCTAAAATTGTGTTTTGAATAATAGCTCCCATAGGCCCATATATTTTAATGTTTAGTCATCAAGGAGTGCAACTCCTTGAATAGATTAGAAGGTTTAGGAGATGTGGCCTTGTTGAAGTCTGTCACTGGGGGTGACATGCCAGGTCTAGACTCTTTCTGCCTGCGGATCAGTAGGAAGCTCTCAGCTCCTCCAGCACCATGTTGCCGTTGTCCTGCCCACCATGATAATGAATTAAGTCTTGAAACTGTAAGCAAGACCCCAATTAAGTGCTTTCTCAGTTTTAAGAGTTGCCATGATCACGTCTCTTCATAGCAATACAACAGTGACTAAGACAATAGTTTTTGTTTTTTAATAGATTCCTCGTTAATATTAAAATATAGTCTTAAATGGGGCTGGAGAGATGGCTCAACAATTAGGAGTATGGGTTGTCCTTGTAAAAGACCCAGGTTCAGTTCCTAGGGCAGCTCATAACCATCTGTACTTCTAGGCGATCTAACCCCTCTTCTGATCTCTGCAGGCACCACACATACACGGTACACATGTATACATATAGGCAAAATAAACATATAAAGTAAACCTAAAAACTGTTTTT